TGTGCAAAGTAATCATTTTAGTGTATCAACGATTTATCTGATTTGTATGACATTTTTTCAGATAACCTTTGCATGGTACACATATATGTAAATATAATACATTTTTTAAAGATATTATATATTATATTACAATATATAAATGTACATTATTTTATGTGTTTTCATATTGTTTTTAATGTAAAATATGTACATTGATGAGACAATGATAATAAAAATATATATATAATGTGAGTACGTTCTCCTATAGCGCAGGTTGTTTTGGTAGCAAACTGTTTTCTACTTAACATGTATGCGATAATTCCCGTGAACTAAGTAGCTGTGATGCGCTAACTAGCTTCTAAACTGTTTACCAATGGTTCATTTGAAAGCATTGGCGATTTTGCTTTCAGCAAATACATGTATATCATTCCAAAAAATATATTGGCATATATATTATAAAATTGATTCAATTCTGTGACCCTATGAAATTTCTTTATACTTTTGAAAATTATTAAGGTTAAATCAGTTTTTAATTTTTTTTTGAAAAGATAATTTTACCAATATTTACAGACGACTATTCGTCAAAATTTCAAAGAAAAGTCATCAGGGATATGCATTTAGGACATAATTTCCTTTGATACCCTTGAAATTATATTCCTAAAAACTGATAAAATTTAAAAAAGTGAAAATATCGATTGAAAACGTTGCTAACTCCGTTTAATTAAGCCTGTTCATGGACGGCATAAGTATATGTATTTTATGGTATACGCTCCCTGGCACCGGCTTTAGCAGAACTGCACATTTATACATAAAAATAAAATACAACATGCTTGACAAATAAGAAAAGAAATTGTAATGATTTTGTTTGGTTCAAAAATATTTTCATAAATATGTCCCACTCAACAAATTAGGATTCATCATTTGTTAATGTTCTTTTAATTATAAAATTTATTCTTACAAATAAAAATGAATTTTATACAACAAAATTACTGTCTGGTAATTTCTTAATAATTGAATGAGTTCACAGGATAATTCTGATGTTCAGTCGAATGAAATAATAGCAATCTCAGCAGGTGCTCCTTTGTGTATATAACTGATTAAATAATTAAATATGAAACTCTGTCAGGAAATATTTATTTGTGTTGCAAATGTATTTCTGCCTAGACCATAAAATCGTATTTAATCCGAAAAATGTCCTGTTATTTTATGGTACAAGTTGATGAATAAATTATTTATTGAAAATGACATTGAAATACTTTGATCTTAAATTTAATTGAAAATGATGAGCAAACGAGCAATGAAACAGATAATGTGAACATTGCAGGCTCGATTCTCTTGCGTCTGTTTACGAGTACAAAATCTGTAACGTAGCCCGCCGTCCGGCCCCCTAGCACCGACTGAAAATATATTTAAATTTAATAACTAAAAGTTTTCGAATTAATCACGTAGGTTATGTATTGTGTTCTTGTAATCTTTTTGTCTCCCATCTGTAGCATATACTCTCCAATCAATGAACGTGTTAAAGAAATAACATTTAATGTATCATTAAACAAAATTTTTTTTCCATGAAAGTACTTTTATTCAACAAGAGCTCGGAGTGTGTTTTATATGTGAATATTGGATAAAAACTAACATAATTTGACTAAAATGATACAGGAAACTGCTACGTGACTGTTTTTAAAATCCTCTGTACAATGTCTTCATCCAAGACTATACTTTCACATACTAGGAATAGAGCATTTAGTTGTATTGGCTTTGTTGTTGTTGATTTGTTGTTGTTGTTGTTGTTGTTGTTGTTTGTTCGTTTGGATGGTTGGTTTGTTAGATAGTTGGTATGTTGTTAAAATTATAGTTATTATTATTACTATGATTATCATCATCATCATCATCATCACCATTATTATTATTATTATTATTGTTATTGTTATTGTTGTTGTTGTTGTTGTTATTGTTGTAGTAGTTGTCGGTGGTTGCTGTTTGTTTTTGCTAATTGGTTGGTTGGTTGGTTGGTTGGTCAGTCAGTCGGTTGGTCGGTCGGTCGGGCGGACGGATGTGCGGGCGGGCGTTGTTTTTTGTTGCTATAGTAGTAAGAGTAGCAGAAGTTGTAGTTGATGTAGTTGATGTTGTTTGAAAGTATTGGCCATTACGCTTAACAGATCTTAATAAGATATGTCCTTTGTTTTAAATATCAAGCAGGCGAATATTTTAGAAAAACAATGTACTTTATAATGATTCTTGTGTTCTAGAATACATGTGGTGATGTTAATGTAGATATAGTATATTGAGTGACATCTGCTCTAGCTCATTCCAATTAGCGCTTCATTACATTCCGTTTCACATAAAGATCTTTTTTCTGATTAACGGTTTCGATTTACCTGAAACATGTGTTTTTGTTGTAATATTTTTTTCTCTTTAAAAAAGATTGTATTAAATGATACTTAACCGTTCTGTTTAAGATATTTGCAGTAGATTTTGTTTTCTTGAATCATCTTTGAAAAGCTAATTTGACTTGATTGATTGAATGATTGATTGATTGATTGATTGACATTTATTTATTTATTTATTGATTTGATTTGATTTTGATTATTAAAGCACTAAGACAATATCTTATTCGTATCCATAAAATGTAATGTATAGTTTGGTTGTCGTCCTGGTTATATTTCTTGCTGTAGACAATTAAAATGATCGCAAAGGTGTCTTGCAAGACAAAAAATTACGAAAAAAATGTCAGATCAAGTTTTAATACCTTTCATTTAATGGCAAGAAAACTTCAATAGATAATACACCCGTACATTGGTTTTTACAAGATTATCATTTCTATAGCAGACATTGAGATACCAAAAAGTACTTTTTCTTGAAGATGGTAAGGCCGTATAATTATATAGAAATGTCAAAAACAGGCATTAGGTGATGAGATACTGCTTGCAATTTCCCAAGAGATATTAAAGATGTTGTTATAAAGCGATCTGTATGATATAATGTTAAGAAATATTACATTAATGAATAATAGATATCAATTTATTGTATATTACTGCTATAAACAAAGGCTGTAAGTACAATTTGATTGTGCAGTTATGGCATTTGGGAGCAATAAACTCATAACATATGCCTTTCTTAATTACCCGACAGCCCACGGGTTAACATTGTATTCTTGGTCTAAATGGAAGTCTTACATTGCCAGTGTGTGAGGGATTTATTTTGACAGTATTATTGGAGGTTTAGTGTAAACATTTAAAGAAATAACGACAAAACTTTATTTGTAGCAAAAATTAAGTTCATAACATGTAAGGCTCAGTTTAAAATCGTATTATTCATTCATATAATATTTTTTTACAAAATCATTTAAAATACATTACATGAAGTGTTTACAAATGAAAATAAAAAATCTGTGAAATAAAGAATTTTGCAATCTCATAATACATGTATTTTAAGTGTGTTGTGCTTTTTTGTATTCTACATTTTCTTATGATTTATATTTTCAACAAACAACTAAAACAATGGCACAATTGCATTAATGCAACATTGTATTTGTTCAATCCATTGGTAATCCAATGGGTTTCCGTAATGTCAGAAATAATACTAGTGCAATATGTGTATTCACAATTTATAACTTTAATTAACATATCTGTTAGAATTATATCAATGTTCGATATTTTATTCGTAAGTTAAACTTGAAGCATTGCATATCCAAACTGGCATCTAAAATATATCAATTTATATCATGCAACAATTCAATTAATCAAACAAACATCATTTACTTACTATAAACGTGTTAATTAGTTTGGTAAAATGACTCACTATTGCCATTAAACAGACACTGAATCAATACATTTATAGATATGAACTGAAATAAATCATCATGAATCCGACAATAAAAGCCAGATTATCGTTTAGATGAACTTGGCAAAATGTCTGAACAGATTTTGCTATTACTTTTGTATTTTTAATGAACAAGTCTGAATCCCGAGTAAGGAGATGAAATATTTTATTTTATTATATGCCTGTCAATATTTTTTAACTTTACAAAATATATCACATGCTCAAAAATTTTCATACTGGGGAAAAATCTGCATCACACTCGGGTGTGGTCCTAAATGGTGTGACTGGCGTTTAAAATTACTGTCCATAACGTTCTTGTTGAAATACGACACTTTCTTGTATTTAAGTCTCATGGATATTAAAAGAACGGATCATCTCGTGTACAATCAAATCGCGACAATTAAGATAACCCCATTATGCCGCCCAAAAAAGTTTGAATTTTTATTCTCAAAAGAATTTGTACTTTCAAAGGTTTCCGAAAAGTTACTCATTGACCAATTACTAAAACCATTTTTTTCTTCTATTGCTTTTTTGCAATAAGAAAAGTTATGAAAGTCAAAATACTATTTTGTTTACATTTTGCTACTTTTATGACAGATGATTTCAATTTTGGCGCTAGTTCTAAGATAACAAGCATCTAATGTGCTCTAAAACCATTATTTAAACATTATAAAATTTATTTTACCCTTTATAAAGAAGTAAAAATTTAATCATCATAACGTGCCTTTAAGTAAACGTATTTTACAAATTGTATGATACCAATAAAGGGCGGGCTTGTTTATTGTGAATGTGAATTTTTGCAATTTTGTTTCGTAAAGTCACCAGCTAAATCTTTCATTCACAGAACATACAAATATCTCCTCTCTTTTAATAATATCTGTTTTCATCGTATAAATCACAGTTATATAAATGTATATTTGCGTTATGCACTTTCAACGTAATGCAATAAAGTTCTATTACGCATTTCGTGCACTGGTATGTGAAACATATTTATACATTATAGATATCATCTCTTTCTTTCGGTAATTGTTTTATGATTTTTCATATTATTAATATTTTGTAACGTGTTTAATCCAAAGGTTTGAAACATGTTTTTATTACCATTACGCGGCCATCATCCGGAACTTTGAATGTTTTGGTGCTGGCTGTATTACCGGCTTATACAAATCAATGTTTGTATGCAATAAATTCGCGACTTTGCCTTTTCTATCCACATTTTAACATTTGTTTCAGCGTTGTTCTGAATTTCTTACTCATTCCACAATAAATGAAAATATTCACTGGACAACTCAATATCACCATTATATTAGATATGCTTATTACAATTAATTTGGCATCTGACACATCATAGAAATTAATTGCAATTTCAATAGCGTCTATAAATAGAACCACAGCGTTCGGAATCTCACAGAATAAGTGTATTCCAACGACCACAATCAACAGTAAAGTTGTCCTCACATTTTGTTTGTCTTGTTGATTAAGCCCATCACATATTCCCCTTCCTCTAAATAAACGTCTCCTCTTCATTCTCTGTGACGTCATTGATTTTATCAGTAGGATTGTTAAGATCGTCAGTACAATGCAAGGCAAAATTCCAAAGCATGTTGCTCGTAATATGAAATACACATTTATGTATAATTCAAGGTTTGGCTTTACCCAATCACGGAACATTGTCACGCATCCAGGAGTGTCGGAGTCTATGTCATATCCGGATGCGTTTGATTGCAGAGTATCCGGAAGTGACGTCGGCCAGAGCGGAAATGCAGGAACAAAATATGTGTCCAGAAACCTGCTGGTATGAGCAACTATTCCAATGATATGAATTGCAACTATGACTTTAAAAGATGAGCAAAAATCAAATTTCTTACGCAATTTAGGCACGCAAACAAAAACGTATCTTTGTGTTGCTAAAGCAACTGTTTGTAACACAGATATATTATGAAACCCTGAAGCTAGAACTATTAATACTTGATACGGGAGGCACCAATCAAACGGCACTATTTCGTCATACTTTCCTAGGGTAAAAAAGTTAAAGAATACCGGAAATAGTGTCACTCCACACATCATGTCACTGAAAGCGAGTCCGGCAAGTAACACATTTGTTTGCGTGCGCAGATCCTTCTTTAACAACACTGTTATAACAAGACAATTAGTGACTAAAGTCAACACTATCACCGGCGGAAGAATATATCCAAAAACTTCAGGATAACCTCCATAAAGTGGAAACTGTGATGAAAGATGTAATAAGTAGGAAATATCAACCGCATTTTCAACAGACACCGTGGAATTCAAATTCTCCATTTTCCCTCCAATTAAATTATATTCCGCTCACATTATCTCAAAGCGATTAAAATAATTCCCGTAAAGCTTGTCATAAGCAAACGATTTACCATCCATTACTCTGTATACCCTAGCAAATTGTTATTTTATCAGATATTGCCTCTTCTCAATGCAAACATCTTTATTGACCGACGCGGAGTAAGTTTCTCTTGCAACTAACTGATTCCACGGAGGTTTGTTGGACATCTATCTAGTTTCATAGCGTGAAGAAATTATGTTTATCACCGCCAATAACATATTATTGGTCTTGTATCTGATATACCTTATATTCCTGTACTAACGGATAAATATGTAATTAAATACATTATAAATGCGAAATAGTATATTTTTAACAGAAAAGCCACACAAACACGAACATTTAGTAATTATTTATTGCATACGTTTCGGCTACATGCCTTCATCAGTGCAAAACATAATATATTTTTTTAATATTTTATTTAGTATATTGGCAATAAAAACATAATTATTGAATTTTAAAGTAAAAAATAATATCAAATAACATTAACTATGGTAACATAGGGTAAAAATCAAATGCAAAACTAAGCGTGCGCAAAACTTTTGTGTAAAATTGATGTAAAAATAAAAATTTTGATATAAAATGAAATACATTTCATGTAGATTATAACGTACAGAATATGATACCATCAAATAAAACAAAGTGTCTGAATCATTAGATAGGTTTGTGCCCTGGAATACCGCGGTTGTTAATATTTTCCTATATTTATAACTATGAAAACCACTTACTTTCACTGTCTCCTTTTTGGTATAAACTGATGTATCTTTACTTTTAAGTACACAAATCAATCAAAATTAAAGTAAATAACCATAGACATTTTAATGAATTTGCTATGTTTATAGGCGGTGCTACTTATGCAAATTAAAGCATGTTCAGTTTACCGCGATACTGGCAGCGGGGAATACTAATGAAATACCGACTTACAGTTATACCATAATGGGATTAATACAAAATATATGATTAATAACAAGATTAGTAAGATAAAATGTACTTATTATATACTTATAAATGAAATATAGAGACATATTGATGAAATAAAATGCGTATTTTTTTCCCGTATTTTCACGGTGAAAAAATATTTTTCACTGCATTGAAACTTATTTCCGTATTTTCACTGGTAACTTGTCGGACTACTTTCTTCTTAATTCAGCCAATACACAAAATTAAAGTATGATTCTTAAGAGTTGTAAGATCAAAAAGAGAAAATGTATATAATAAACAGAAAATTCAGGTTCTTTTCTATACATACAGGATTTATATTCATATTGAAATATGAAAATAATCATATTTCACTTGTGGCTGTAACCACCACTTGTGAAATATTTATTTTCATACTTCTTGATAAAAATAAATACTATTGAGCTTGATAACATGACAATTCAGATATTGTAAATTGTTGAGTACAATATTGAATTATGTTGAACGAGTACAAACTAGCGCCTCTTTCAAGTTTAGATTTGTCAGCTGTGTACTCGTCCAATACAATTAGTATTGTTCAATGATGTATAATGACATCTTTATTTCACATCACCAAATTTTTTGGCATTTTGACAAAACTCTGGGTACAATAACGATTTAATATGATTTTTTTGGACTATGAAAATTAAAACGAGGCTATATGGAATACAATATTGACTGGATATGATATGGATTTTTGGGACTCGGAATGTGAAGTCGAAGATAGATACGAGGAGTACAAATGTGATTTCATATGGAAGTTTTGGGCTTAAAAAACGAAAAGGCTAAATTGATGAGATGGTTATATTTGGAGATCACATTGTGTGCAAACGCTGGAAGGTCATTGGTTACATTACATAGGTTGTGAAATAAAGCAGTATATCAAACAAACTAAATATTATTCCAAGTAAATAATATTTAAGTTAAATCATATTTTATTTCCTGTAAAACGTGTACATGTAACATATAAAGTATTTTAGATACAAGATACGGGAAAGGAAACATGTTTGTTTACAGTTTCAACTGAGGTTATTGCCATGACGAACTGGAAATAATATTTCAAGATTTAATGTTTCATTTGATGTAGGTCTACATCGATTTGTGTGCAAAATTTAAGATCTGCGTTTTTTTCCAGAATAACAAATCTTATTGTGAAAAATAACACAAAATTGAAAAACGTTGCAACGCTTTTTAGTCTAAATGGGCTAAGAATAACAGAAAGATATTCAATATATTTTTGGGTATATTTTCAATCATCTTCTTGCAAATCTTTCTGTTTAAAGTGCCCCAGCCGATCAACGTAAGAAAGTCAAATTTTATAATTTTAGGCTTTTGGCCTTTAAACAAACAAGTGTAATTAATGTTTAAGAGCAAAAAATAAAAACAAGTACACTTTTTTTTGCTACAACATCAGAACAAAAATAAAACTTGTTGTCTAAAGAAAATATGACGTATTTAATATGTAAAAATAAACACATTTCATCTAAATGTTTAGCAAAAATAGTTATGTAGGCGAATTAATCCATCCTTATGTTTTCGTGACAATAATTTAATAATGACGTCAAGAATCACCGTTATGGTAACCGAATTATGAAATATTATGAAAAATTTAATCCAAACCCTACCGAACGTTTTTCAGACCGTTGCCCCATGCACATATCATTTATGAACCCAAATGTTATGCTTAATATGCATTTAACAGGAAAAGTTATTGATTTATTATACAAAACAAAGGAGAAAGACCTTAAATATATTAAATATTTATACAATATATCATCCATGTATTAAAAACATGAACAGAAAAAACGACAAAACAAAGAAAAAACACTTATTTTTTGTTATATTGTTTTAGTCAGGAAATGAGTTTTTCTCTTTTTTTTAATTAACGGATATACGTATATTGTATAAAAACAAGATTAAACATATCTTAGGCCAAATCAATGCCTCTAACACCTTCGATACAGAGTGAATATTCTGCTATATTCGGTTATATTCTTACACAACGTACGACGTACGAGTAAAGTCCATGTATGAATTGCCGCTATAAATAGTCTAAGTTTGATTTATCATGTTATACATTTAGATTTCCTCTAAGATACAAAATAAATGATAAAGTATATATCATCTATGAATGGTCGGAAGCTTTTTATTGGTGCTATATATCTATATATGGAATTCTTTATTTAGTTAATAGAACCTCTAGAAATAATCTGTTATTCCAAATCAATGGTAGTAAAAAAAGGGCGTGCGCGAGCGTGATGTGCGAGTATGTGCGTGCGTGACGTGCGTATGTGGCTATTAGATTTAGTTGACGTTCCTGTGACGAATCTGCAACAAAATATGCACATATTTGCTGCATTAGTAACTAATAAGGATAACAAGAAGATCGCCGTCTGGCCTAGACAGGGTAATTGTGAAGTCAAACAACAACAACAAAAAACACGAACACACTTGTACGCTTGCACGCATGCACTCATATATATACGTAAATATAAACACTAAACATTAAGAACAATTTCATCTTGGCCTTCTACGTCATCTGTCATTTTCTCGTGTGCCAATAGGTGCGTGAACTATCAAATTCATTCAGTCTATGTGTATATGAATAGTGCGCTTAAAACAATAAATGAGCCGCGTCACGACAAAACCAACATAATGGGTTTGCGACCAGCATGGATCCAGACCAGCCTGCGCATCCGCGAAGTCTGATCAGGATCCATGATGTTCACTATCAGTTTCTCTACTTGATCAGACTGCGCGGATGCGCAGGCTGGTCTGGATCCATGCTGGTCGCAAACCCATTATGTTGGTTTTGTCGTGACGCGGCTCAAGTAATCATGAAAGGTCATGTCAGACTTATGAATTGTCGGAACTTTCACAGCCATGCTAATATATCTAAGTAAAATTAGCATTTTTCTGGATTGGGTAAGGTACTAAGGTCTACTTCATTATAATCAATGAAGCAATGGCTGTTTTCAGTGAGATATCTGTTGTTTCTCATGGCCTTGTATCTGCCACTTAAACTAGGGATCTTATGAAATCAGAATTGGAAAGTTTCATGATATCCCTCATTATAGCACTGGAGGTTATTTCTCATTCAATACAGAAGAATATTCCTCATTCAGCACACGGCGATATCCGCCATTCAGTGCATTGCGATATCCTCAAATCGGCACATGGCGATAGCTTTCATTTACCAATAAGCGATACCCCTCATTCAGCTCATAGTGTTATGCCTCATTTAGCACATTGCGGTATCCCCTGTTCAGTGCATTGTGAAATCCCTCGTTTGTACATGACGATTTCCATTATTCAGTACATGAAGATATCTCTCGTTCAGCACATGACGATATATCTCATTCAGCACATGGCGATATATCTCAGTCAGCATATGGCGATATATCTCATTCAGCACATGGCGATATATCTCATTCAACACATGGCGATATATCTCATTCAGTACATGGCGATATATCTCATTTAGCATATCGCGATATCTCTTATTCAGTAATATCTGTACATGACAATATGATATCTCTCACTCGGCACATGGCAATACATGTGGCTCTTATTAAAGACTTGGTAATATCTCTTATCAGCATATGGCAATGTGTCTCATTCAGCACATGGCGATGTCCCCCATTCACATGGGGATTTCTCTCATGCAGTACATGGCAATATCTCTCATTCAACACATGACAAAATTCCTCATTTCCAGCCAATTTGAGAAGACATCGCTACTAAAAAACTGGGTGTGTATTAGTTAGGCTTTTAAAAATACACTGTACCTTTATACCGAATTGCCGCGTGAACCAAATTAGTTTGCTTTCAACATTTTTAAAGGTTCAACGACATTGAATCTATGCACATAGGGGTTAGTAATAATAGTAATGATCACAATTTTTTAGAATGACTTCTATATGATTAGCATGAAATTACAAACACGTCAAGGAAATTAAACGTGTTCAATATGCTATATTAGGCGTCCCTAATTTAGACTTGTTTACATGTTTTAGGCATCGTAGCGGTTATGGTAATGAAAGAACTAACGCCCAAAGGCAATATTACTTGACTTGACCTAATCACGTACATTGCGGATGTGCTTCAAAGCTCCAATATGGCGTAGGAAGATTAGATTATGTCTTTAACAAGTACTAATTATCCCCGCATCTCTGAAACAAAGCTTCTGAACAAAATATTCTCTCAATAATCTTTCATAAGCGGCTATACATCATTGTCGACCTCCTGTTAGTATTGATCTGGTCAGAGATTGTATATTATTATGCTACAATGAGTTTGACCACGGAACTGACCATAACAACTGATCAATCATGTTAAGAGTACAGAATATGTTCGTCATATTCATGTTGAACATGGCTGCAACTGATCCGTCGGCTATTTATAGTACAACAATAACAAATCAAGACAAATGCATGCTTTTAAATGTCGGATCATTGTGATAAATGTTGTATATACACAAAGGAAAAGATCAAGAAATAAACCACTTTTTTAACAAAAATATTTTTCTTCTCAGCCGTGGCTCGACTTTTTCGTCCTGGAGTTTTGATACCCTCCTCTCTGGGAACGTTAAAACCTTTAGAACATGCGCACTGCAAGGCATTGAGCTCGAACCAAACAGGTTAGCGCCAAAAAAAAATGATTTTGGTAAAATTCTTTGTACTGGCGTTCGGTTTAAATTACGTAAGTTTTTTGCATGCGCAACACATCGCCTATTCCTTGTCCGAAGTTTGATGGAAAATGTCGAAAAGTTTGCAATTTCAGTCGTGGCGCTTCTTTACGAGGGTGCTTGATGTTGTATATGACAATCTGACCCGGCTCTATATTGTAGTTCGCTGAACTTTTGTATTTTGGTATTAAAATTCTTTAAATTTTGAGGGGACTGTTCAAATTCAAATAAATAGTACATAGTCATTACTGGTTAATCAATCAATCTATCTATCTATCAATCAATCAATCAATCAATAAATCAATCAATTAATCAATAGATAAATCAACCAATCAATAAAAAAGCAACCAATCAATCAATAAATTAATCAACAAATAGATGACCAGACGAAACTTTCTCGCAGACAAATAACTTTTATTTCCTGTTTATTTCAGAACACTAATGATCAGTTTTTTCAAGGTAAAAAAAAGTAATGTTTAGTAAAATGTGATTTAAATCTAAACAAACAAAATCTAATGATGGCATTGTGAGAGATAGGAAGTTTCGTTTCAAAGATCTCATATATGTCATAAGATTGACGTCAATCGTTTTATAATTCAACCTTCAAGTCACATTGTTTCGAATGTGAATAGCCATATAGTTCTTACATAAGCAATTCTAATGTCTGTGACTCATTTTTCTGTCCATTTTTTATTATTATTTCAAAATATTTTGCTATTCTGTTTTTATAAAAAAAGCTGAATCTCAGTAATATAAACATATTATTTTAGCTGTATAATGGAATAAAGGAACGGCAGTAATAAAAATGAAATGAACATAATTGTTTTCTATGTTATGAACAAATATGCATGTTGTTTTTTTCGCAATTGCGTGCTGAGGGTAGAGGCACGCAATGTTCTGTGTAGGTAGGTTTATGTGATTTGGTAAATTTGAGTGTTTATTAAAAATTTTATACATTACGCAAGCTTGCTTGGCGATTGTGTGGTTGTATGCGAGATATGGCTTGTGAATTGAGAGGGTTTTTTTTGTTATTAAATTTACCCATTATATGAGAGTACAGTGGCTAGCTGCAACCATAAAGGTTCTTGCGACTCTGCCTGTGTCTGTATATGGATTCGCGAGGGTTGGGGCATCTTGAGAAAGAAAACAATTTATTTAAAACGCTAAGATCAAACCTTTTTAAAAATTGCTTTGTTCGTATAACACAAACTAGGTACGGAATTCTAATACACAGATAAGATACTAGTTTGGTGAGCGCTCTTGTTCTTCGTGACAAAAGAAAGTGTCACAATATATGCCAACATAAAAATAGGGGACAAAGTGAAATCATGGTCTATAAAAGAACGCAAAAGACCTTGTTTGGTCATCTCTTTCAAAACAATGTTGACCCTCGGACTGACCATCACGTGTATGCTGTGGCAGGGTATTGCCACACAAACTCTGTTGGAAGTTGCTACGTCACTAAATGCAAGCCTATTTGTTAAGTATGTGCAAGACAGTGGTTTGGCGCCAGCTTTCACTAAAAATGGTAAATTGTATTTTTTTACATACATAATTACCGTATATTTATACCAACTTTAACCTTTCATTATTTTGCGATTCGAATGCAATGCAACCTTTAAACTTATTCAAAAATAGTATTTGATGTTTCAAACTGGTTAGATAAAAACACATTCATTTATTTAAGTTTGTTTTATGTATATCCGAAAAAAAGCGTTGAAAAACAGTGCGATCAGATTGGTCTTGAGGATGGAATTTATAAACTGTTGGAATTAAGTCATGTACAAAAAATGGTATATTTCTTAAGTTGTAAAAGCAGCACGCCTGCAGATTCACGCAATTTTCATAAAAATTTTAAGTTGTTTTTAAAAGTAAATTATTGTGAAATAAACATAGAAAGTAATTTACTTATTGCAAACGACGTTTACAATCCACGTTAAATACCAAACAGAGGTCAAATATGCAAAAAAATATGCTCTTACCGTGTCAGTCACGCAGTAAAAATAGTAAAATATGGTGATAAATACTGCAGTCATTTATCGCACATAACATGAAAATTATAACTCGAAACTGAGTCTTTTTAACTTTTCTTAAAATCACAGTACATTTTTCTCAATATCTGGAGGCATGCAGGTCAATTTTTTATATATAGTATATAATAGCTGTTACAGAAAGAAACTTGAATATCTTCTACCAATATTTTAATTCTGTATACATACAAGGCAACATTTTGTTCTAATAAAAAGGTACTGAAATTGGCATCATTTTCGGGACGCCCTGTATTTCTAAAGCAAACTTCAGGAACATATTCTTCTTTGTTTACGAAGACGTTCCATATATGTTTTAATATTTTTATTTCAGGTCAGTTTACGTTATTCATTCCAACTGATGACGCATTTAATGCTTTGCCTTCCGATGTTAAAATGCAGCTTACGAAAGAACCCGAACTTTTACGGAAAGTGTTGATGTTTCACGGAGTTGACGGAATCAAGTATTCGTCAATGCTCTCCGATGAACTTGAAGTTGAATCATTAGTTATGGACGCCAAAATAAGGATCAACATTTACAACAATCCAAAACCGGTATTCAAAATATTAATCATATATCTATTTGAGGACATTGTATCACGAATTGCATGCTATTTGTACATAAAACAAATTATGACATTTGATATATTGCATTTTTGAAAAACGATAGTTCCATCTAGACAAGGAACGCTATCTGTCTGTGTTCCAACTTTGTAAATTTGAATTAATTCGTCTGGAAATGTCATATTTTCTTTATTTAGATATTTTCAAATTTCCGTCTGCTGAATTTATTGCAGATTGTATTAGCCTCCGGAAGTGAAGTCATTCGAACGGATATAAATGCAACCAATGGCGTCATTCACCTATTGTCACGTGTCATGTATCCTTTGCCAACAGCGGATGCTGTCCAATTTATGGCACAGAACAATCAACTTGGAACGCTTCTGTATTCTGTTGCCATGACACCGCTTAGAGGGATTCTTCAAGGTTGTAATTCGTATTTTATTCGCAGAATAATGATATTTTATAATAATAAGTATGTCTGCATAAAACATTTATAATCAATGGAACACAAAAAACCACTTATTAAATATCAAATAATGTACGTATACGGTTAAAGCACGCAATTATTCGCCTTAGCTATGTTCTCAAATATCAAGTAATTGCAAGCATTCTATCGGTCATAAAATGTTACATAACAATGTTTTTTGTTTCATTTTCTCTATAAATAAAATGTAGAACATTCTGGAAAAAGAATCGCAATCTATTTTCAAATAGAAATATATTTTGAAATAATTTTATACTAAGGAACGTCACACAGCCAAATAAAGCAACAGAAAAGATACCAGTGGCCGTATAGTTTACAATGGGTGGGCTACGATAGAAACCAAAATTTTAAATATGTATTTAAAATGTAACTTTATATGCCAATGACGTAGTGCCAGTCTGTTTATATCCATGGCGTATCTAGTAGTTGTTCACAAGCATAAGAGATCGTTAGTTTACACTGGTGATTGGTTGCACGAGTTCGAGTCCTGATTAAGTCATGTGCTTCTTTTCATGACAATTTGTCGTCATGCTCCTTTGATTAAACTGATCTATGTAAAGAAGTTGATAATTCCTTGCAGAAAAAAACTGGTAGGCATTCGATAAAAAACAGGAGAATTTAGCCGACGTTATATGGCTAAAATAAGGTTCATATAACGCTAATGCTTCATCAAATCCATATATCACAAAATAAAACAAAACAAACCGTTATAGATCACAATTTCTACCATCAATAGAAGATGATTTTTTATCTTTTCAGCTGGTGGACCTTTTACAATATTTGCTCCAAACAACGATGCTTTTAATAAACTTCCGGTCGGATACTGGAGTGACCTGTTTAATCAAAATTATACAGCATATGTTGGTATGACACTCTTATTATACTTAATCAACTAGACTTTAATTTATTTGTATATTTTCTGTTTTAATGCCGATTTTAACGCATGCCTTTGGTCATATCTCAGCGAATGATCCACGTGATCAATAATTACCAATTTCACCGCAAGTAACTACTAATCCTACATGATGTCTGAATCAGCGGTGAGAGACAAATGACCATTAGACTCAATGTTTTGCTTTGCCCAAGGATCGAAACAGCGATCTCTGGATTACAAATTTGATGCTCTCCCTGTTGAAAAAACTTGAAACTTTCCGATTTAAAAACATATACTTGCATTTTTCTTAAATACTGGTGCATAAGACATACTGTATTGCAAAGTTTGCCGTTTTAAAGAATCAATCGCATTCTTAAAAAAAATGAAAAAATGTCCACTATTGAAACTAGTTCGCTATCTAGACCATGTTTTTCTAAAGACCACGTTTTAGTAAGGTCCTCTAAGCACAATGATTTTCAGAAATAGCTGAATCTGACGCTTCCAGACATTGACAGACATAAAATAGGGAAAACGGAATCCCTAAAGATGCCGGAAACGACAAAATTGATAATGTTTCAGGCTCGGTTCGATTGGACGAAACTGGAAAGTGCAAGTTACCGTCCACGTCCCTAGCACCGGTTTTAGCAGAATTCAAAATTTAAACATGAAAATACACATAAAATACCATTAGTGAAAATACATTTTAATTACCATTAGACTACGGGATGAAATTTGATTTGATTGAGCTTGAAAGTTTAAAGACATATAAATATAACTATATTTTTTCAGACATGTTGAAGTATCACGTGGTTCAAGGAACTATTTACAGTGAAGGACTTAAAAGTGGTCCTTTAACTTCTTACACCAGACAGACGCTGCACGTGCATGTAAACCATAGTAAGTACTTATTGCTTGATTTTCCTAAATCCAGTCGGTTCAGAATACTGCCTCAAAATTACTTGCCGTTTAATCATGACATGAAAGAAAGCTGCACTAGGGTTTTACGACAAATAAATGTATTCTAAATATTTAAGATCGGTATGTTTATAAATAGAATAATTTTTATCATAAGCTTTAAGAATTAAAATTTGCAAATTTTACAAAAAATGTAAACGTGCCAATAGAAATGGGGTAAAAGATTAAAGGAAAAAACATATTTAATTGCATAAAACATGCAAATTTCATCAAATAGATTCTGAAAAGTTTTGTCTGACAATACTTTATTATTTTTCGCTTTTTTTTCGGGTTTTACATTAATATGGCGGCCTGCTCGGTTTAAGAATGGCTTTGAAATATAGGATTTTGAACGAGATATCTGTGTATATAGTAAAGTAGGTATTGTGTACATGAAGTCTAGTTTCATGGCGGTATTTCTATTGTAGATGGGGTAATGATCAACAACGGAACGGTGGTTCAGGCAGATCAGACAATAAAGAATGGAGTCATTCACATAGTAGACAGAGTTCTTATTCCAGGACCTTAATTATTTAGTCATTTTTTTTACTTATCCACTTTGTTAAGTTTTATAATAAATACTGTTATTTTTCATAACCAGTTGTTTGTGATGAATTTTACGAATATTACAATTTCTCCCACCGAAAAACAAATTAACGATCATAAATAGGGGCAGCGTGCCGCGTGCATGCTTTTATGAAGATCAATCAAATATATGTATACAATTAATATTTCAAGATATTTGTCTATAAATAACTTCTAGTATGTTCAAAGTCGATACAATAAATAGCAAGAAAACTGAAGAACCACGGACGTATAAAGTTATATTGTAATGATGAATTGCAATGGTTTACAGATTAGTAAGCAAAACAGACACATTCTATTTAAATACGTAAAGCAAATTTCCGTGATTTTCGTGCAAAAGCGTCACAATTGCATGGTTCCCGGGCAAAACGGCCGAATGTTCGCGCTTTGTCAAATTTATATAGATATAAAACTTAAGCATTATTCTTTCTTTGTAAAATTATAGCGCTGCGTACACAACACAGTAATTTATAAATCAAAAACGATTTTTCTTCCTGATTAAGAAGGATAAAATGTGTTCTTAAATGTTTAAATAACGGCCTTAGAGCATGCTCATTACCGTGATTTAGTATTATTTTTGTAGTAGGCAAAATACAATTTAAGTTATTACTTGCTTACGTTTGGCTATGTTATGACAAATTTGTTTCCATATTTTAAAACACATTTTATTGCATTAAATACATATTTACAAACATATCATACAAATAATGAGTATATATCAAAATGCAAATGGGTTGGGCTACAAGTTCTTACAACATTAGATTAAGCCCTTCCCAGAAATTAATATTACAGAAGAAAATACTTTTAAGGAAACAATAATTAATTTTAACATGCATAATTATAAACTTTAAAATATGTATTTTATTTTTGAATAGTTCATTTATCAATAAGTATCTCCGGCCATAATAATAATGCTTCGGAACCGTTGGTGCTTTAAAAAGATTTTTTTAGTCTAGATTTAAATATGTTGAGTGTCTGAGAGTTTCGTATATTGGGGGCGAGGTTATTCCATATTTCTAACGAGGATGGTTAAAACGATGTACTATATAATTGAGTGCGTCTAGCTATAGTAACATAGTTGTAATTATTTCGCAAAGGATAAGAAGTAGTTTCTGATACAGTTGGCGGAAACAAAGAAGATAAATAGTCCGGTAGTAAACCGTTTTTAGCTTTATAAACAATTACAAGTTTTTGAATTTTTTCCATACAATATGGCGTTCAGCATATGATTACATCAAACATCTAAAATGCTTTGAATTAATTCATTATTAAAAAATAAAAACATACGTTTGCTATTTCTTCAAACAAAATAATCGTATTCATTTCTGAGGCTTTATATGCCTTAAACCAAATTTTTTATTAATTTTACGCCTGCTCCCTACGCAGGATTTTCTCGTTTATAATGAGGCGGGAAAATCGTGCAATGTTGTTGTCTTATGGTACACACTGCAAAAATACTTCAATGTAAAGAGCAACATGTAGTCCATTAGTTTAGTTACTAGTGGAGCGGGGGACCCCACGTTATTACTAATAATGTTAATTGCACGTCATATAATTCATAATGAAGTTGGTAAACGCCGAGGGTAATTAGCTTTGCTTGGAGTCGTCCCGTCTAGCGATCCGAACGTACAGATTTGCAGGTTGAAATGCGTTTCAAAGCCTTTCTCAAAATTGTAGAAATATAGATTTAAGTACCACTGATTCTGTTTAAATTTCCATAACACGCAGATAAAAAAATATCGGTTCGTGAAAATTTCTTTTTTTTTGTGACATACGACCATACCTCAGTGCAGTACGTTTAATATTTGGGTGTGGACATTATATTCTCTAAAAAGTGTTGCATATGTTGAACAAATACAAATAAGGATAGCCAGGTATGAATAAATATGTTGACGCTAGTTCATACCTCGCACATATCTTTTTTAGAACAAATGTACAAAGCCCGGTCACACCGCAAGAACTTTGATGGAGCGTTCCTTGAACGGGTTGGAGAGGGGACCGAATTTCGACAACGCTCGTCACCACAAACAAATTGGGGAAAAAATCAAAAACACAAGTGTTGCCCGTTGGTTTAGCGGTGATGCAAGCGTTGATAAAGCGAATTCGATGTAAATGAGGTCTACACTGATTCCAAATGGGCTCTTGGTCCATTTCTCCTCGTAATTATAGCTTAATTATGGGCCTTATACCAACGCCAAACCGAAGTTCATCGCCGCAATTGATCGCTGCTTCAACGCCCAACACCTTTCGAGCAATCCCCAGTCCGCTCGTAAAACGCTTGCAACCGCTCCACCATAGTTTGTGCAACGTTTAATCACCGCCCGGGCATAGCTGGCGCAGCAGCTGTGGTCCAACGTTCAAGATTTCAGCGTTAGCCTAGCGGACCCAAGCGTCCACGAACTTGCGTATAGCGGTACCAAACTTTGACTGGGCGTTGTTTGAGCGGTAGAGGAAAATTGGCCACTCCTCACCGCTCACAATATTTTATTTAAAAAATGTTATAAGACAAGATTTAACAAGAGCACCGCATGTGTTGTTACCGCTCGTCTGTTAACCTGTTCGTATTAATATTCCAACAATGTATTTTCATTCTACTTAAGGAGTAATTTTGACATAAGTTCTCTGATAAAAGTGGGGGATTACTCAGAAAATACACCTTTAAGAACTATGCCGCTTGTCTAACAACTGTGCCTTGTCACGATATACAAGTATTCCAAGTTTCATGTTAGTACCTTTCATAATTGTACGCTCATTTTACCAACAAAAAGTTAAAAAGGGGCATAACTCCGAACATATAGCTTTCAGAATTATGCCCCTTGTCTTACAACTGCACCTTGTAATGATAACCAGGTATTCTATGTTTCGTTGAATTATTGCTGTGTTTAAGTTTTTGCACGACAACGACATTGCAGCGATCATTATAGTTTCGACTTTTTCTTCGAAACAGACCACTTGAAAATAAACAAAATGTGACGTGACTGATGCCGCTACGTAAAATATCTTCATGTCCAACTTCACCATAGAAGAAAACTACACGCAATTTTAGATAAGGTCATTAAAAAAAACTCAAATAAAATTTGCCAGCACTGTGAGTGTGGAGAATTGCGTACCGCTCAAGCCGGTGATAGGGTCGTGAGGGATGTTGCACTTATTCATTATCCCTCATGTAAAGACCGAGTCCACGTTTTCATGTAATTTTGTTGTGAGTAATGCTTCCGAGGGATCACTTTGCAGATTTTTATCCTTCACAACAGCAGATGTCAATTGCCGTGTAACAACTTAAAAAGTTGTCCCGTACTTCACTTCAATGTTGTTATATTTTTCTGGTCCCTCGGGATCTTTGATGCCAGCACTATCAAGTGTTAAAAAATTGATTACCGCTCTAGTCGGTGCTAGGGGGCGTGAGGCATGTTGCACTTATTCATTATCCCTCATGTACAGACTCAATCAAACCAAGTTTGCAATTTTCTTGTAATTTTGTTGATAAATGTTTCCAAGGGATCACTTTGTTTTCATATTTTTGTACTTGAAGTGTGTATAAATAGTTATAAAGCTATAGTAATTAACAAGATGATATTAGTTTTTATCACGATCAACATTTCTTAAATGAGGACTTAATGCTTGATTATTTATTTATTTTTAGACTTGATAATTGCTTTTATTTCATTAAACGCGACTTAGATATCTGATTTAACTTATGTTCATGTTCATATTTTAGTTATGGTCAGAACAATGAAAATCAGTGGAAGTGTTCAATTTGTAAAAATAAGTTATGCCTTTTACGTCTCCATCAGAACTGCAGATTGGCCTTCATGGTCCAGATGGTTAAATTTATTGTACATTTAAATCTCGTCAGGGACTTTTGATTCTTTTATGTAAGGAAGCTATCTGGCCTAGCGTGCGGAAGGTCGATGGTTCTAATCAGGTGCCAGTTTGTGCCTAAAATAATAATATGGTCTTCCTCCACCAATAAAACTGGAAAGTTGCCATGTAACCTGAACACTGTTGATGTGACTTAAAGTCAAACAAAACAAAGAAATGCTAGAAATGTGTCCATAGGAATCGTGTGCCCCCCACACTCCATTATTTTGTCAATCTTATGACTCTAGGTCAAATATTTTTGGGCTACATGTGCCACAAGTTGAAAACTAAAAATCTTTTACTAAGTAAAGGGCAAGAACTTTACAAATTCTGAAAAAAAAATCCACAAGCAAACCCAAAGGTGCATAAGTACACATGCTGACCAATTTCTTGTAAACATTCAGGCCTGCAGGTTAAATACTTTTTAAACTTTGCATGAACAAGTTGAAAATTGCATATTTTTTACTAACGTAAATCAAGTGCAATAACTCTTATTAACAAAACTGAAAAAAATCAACATGCAAAGTCAAAGGTGTATAGCTTCACAGTGATGTTAATCATTATTCCTGTAAAATTGGTTGATTCTAACTCAAGTACTCAAGGAACAAATAACGCACATAATGAAACTGTTTTTGCTAAGTCATGGGCAATAACTCTACAAATAGTGGATAAATCCGCAAGCGAAACCCAAGGTGCACAACTACACATGATGACCAACATTCCTGTTCAGTTTCATGACTCTAGAATAAATACATTTTGAGCAACACAAATTGAAAATTGCAAAATTCAAGGCAATGACTCTGACAAAACATATAAATTCACAAACGAAACCCCAGGTGCACAACTTCACATGCTGATCAACATTCCCGTAAAGTTCCATGACTTTATGTCAAATAGTTTTTGAGCTATGTGTGACACAAGTTGAAAATTGCAATTTTTTACTAAGTCAAGGGCAATAACTCTGAAAAAACAGAATAAATTCACAAGTGAAACACCAGGTTCTCAACTTCACATGCTGATCAACATTTCCGTAAAATTTCATGACTGTATGTCAAATAGTTTTTGAGCTTTGTGCGACACAATTTGAAAATTGCAAATTTTTACTAAGTTCTTTGTGCTACACAATTTGAAAATTGCAAATTT